CATTAACCATCAATCCGCACGCAGCTTGCGTGCGGACGCCGATCCGGACCGTAAATCACATGATTTACGGTCCTGATGTATTTCGGTGGGCCCCACCTAAAATTTTTTATTTTTTTTTTTAAAAAACGGAAATAATCCTGACCGTAGATCACCGTGATCTACGGCCATGATCGAACACCGCATGCAGAGATGCATGCGGTGTCCGCACGCAATAATCCCCCCAACATCTGACATTGTTAATTCAACGCTATCGGGAAGTTAGCGTTAGAATAAGCCCAACGCTAAATAGCATCCCTCATTGTCGACTATTTAGTGCCGGCCATTTCTGATGCTAATACGTCGTTAAGTTAGTGTCACCCATATTATCGAGGAAAATTTATAGAGACGAAATCTTGAGACGACATTTCCAGCATAGATAGATAAAGATCCAACGCAAAATCAATCAGCGGTGCCAATTTTTATGTCAATATTTTTTTGACGCTGATTCTACTCCAACATTTTCCCAATTAGCGTCGGAAATTGTCACTGCTTTTCCAGCTACATTTAGCACATATTGCCATTCAATTGCTCTAATGGTTAGGAATTCCAACTTTCTTTGACAGACCATTCATTAATCTGAACTCATATAAAAACTGTCAAGACATTTTACATTTAATATCTTACCCTAAAAAAGGCCGACCTGTTAAATGGCCTGTGAGCTTAGCTCGATGCGCTAACAAGTCATGTTCAAGCTAGTCCTGACTCAACTAGTTAGATCGTGAGTCGACTTGTTTTAAAAAATATTAATATAAAATATAATAAAAAAACATATTAAATTTGAAGTTTTTTATCTTTAAAATATATAAAAAAATAAAATTTATATTAACTTATTTATTATTATTTTTCTTCTTATTATTCATTTTATTTATCATTAAAACCAAGCTCGAATTTGATAAAATTAATCAAACTCAAACTCGAACAGACGGCTCCTGCTGGACTCAACTCATTTACATCCATAAAAAAAATCCTTTGGCTCCTGCTCGACTCAACTCATTTACATCCATAAAAAAAATCCTTTTTTTTTTCCTACCACACCTAACAAAATATATAAACACAACAACATAATCACGATAAACTTAAAAAATTACAAAATCATCCAAAATGCATCAACGAATCAAACTAATTAATATTCCACCTCATATATATATATATATAAATATAACTAAACTCAGCCCATCACTGAACCATAGAAGTAACAAAACAAGCAGCAAAAGCAGGCAGCAATACAGAAACCACACCGACCACCTTAACATCCAGAGCTCCACTCGTCGGCGCGTTTGCCGGCGCCAGGGAGCCGCCGTGAGCCGACGCGATCATCCTCGCCATGGCAACGTTATCCATCGGCTCGCCGGTGTGCTCCGGCTTGCTGTCGACGGCGGGCGAACCATTTCCCCGATCGAAGTTTTTGAGTTCCTCAACGAGTTGGGGATCGGCTTCTTCGTCCTCGCCATCGTTTATGTTGCCGTTAACTCTGGTTACGAATTCCTTCATGTCGATGGGGGTGCCGCCGGTGCCTTTGGAGGCCTCGTTGACGAAGTTATCCCAGCCTTGTTGGGCGGAGATGTCGAAAGAGCCGGGATTCTGCTGCGCGGAGGACGGAGGGAGGAGGAGGAGTAGGAGGAGGAGGAGGAGGA